TACAAGTCTCGATCAGGACAGTTAAGAAATCACAGATAGTAGGGCCTGTGTTCTTTCTTGCCACCTTCAGATCAGCTTTCTTCTATTGCTCCCTGAAGAGAAAGAAAGTTCCTTGTTCTCATTGCCCGATCACCTATAGCTTCCTCTGGGGCATCTTCTACCTCCTGCCCCTCATGAATGCCTTCTTGTACCCCTCCCCATTTTTCATTCCCTCAAGGTCTAAGGAATACACAGCGTCAATTGTGAAGTGTTTCACATGTCACTGCACAGATGCTACTGCTACCCACAATGTTTGTCACCTGTACTGGCCATCACAAGTGCTAACATTTATCTAAAGCTGAGTTATTAACATGACATCACCGGAAAATATAAATTATTACTATATACCAATTCAGTAATTTCCCTTTGGCACTCTCCTAATAACAAGCATTCTTGATCGCTGGACCAGTTGCAGCTGTGATCTGTGTTGATGTCTGTGGTTCCGAACACCACAGAAGGTTAGATGATAGAGCTGTACAGAGTTAGACCCAGTCCTCATTGGCTGTACCACTAGGGAGAACTGGTCCTGCCCCTCACTGGCGGAAGCACTCAGGAAACTATACCTGTATATGGCCAATAGTGAGACAGGAGAAAGGATAGGCAGAACTGTCAGGAGGAGATTATATAGAAGGAGAAATCTTGGAGAAAGGATGGAATGAGAGATGGAGAAGGCCATCAGGGGGCAGCCATCCAGCTACAGAACAATCCTTAGTGTAAGAGTGAAAGTAAGATTTAAATAAGAGAACAGGGAAATACAACAGGCAAAACGTAAACAGGATAATATAAGTTAAGAAAAGCTGGTAGGAAACATGCCAAGCTAAACCTGGACATTTATACCTAAGTCTAAGGCTCCTTCTGATTTATTTAGGAGCTGGGTGGCACCCCCACAAAAGAGCCCAAAGAGGAAAACAACAAACTACAGCCAGTGATGTAAGATATGTCTGTCCTATGACTGCACAGGTTCCCACATGATTCTAAGGCAGGTCTAGAGGCTCCATCTGTAAGCTCTGATCGGAGCACAAGGACATCAGTGTCTGCCTGTCATATCTCACTGAATTGCAGCAAACACTGAAACCAGTGCAAGATTCTCTGCTAGCTCCAGCCACCAGGTGCAGATTTACTCTCTCTTCAGGTCACAGGGAGTTGGGGAGGGTGGTGGTGACAGTTCATGTTGTTCCAGAAGGTCAATATGCAGAT